AAGTATTCGAAGGCGATCGCCGGGCTTGACGACTAGCTTGTGTGCTCCGTGACTGTCCTTGCGCCAGAGGGTGTCGTTGTCGAGGAAGAATTGCATGCAGTACTTGATGAATCCTTCGTAAACGCTTTCGGAGATGCCGTCGGGCTTTGCTAACGTTCGATGAAATTCGAGCACGTCGTCGAGCTTTGCATCTGCAAGTTGCGCTTGCTCCGATCGAGGCACTAGCTCGTAGCTATCCTCCTCCCTATTGAAATCTGAGCCGTCCTCGGCTCGGTCATTGGTGAAGATGGCTAGCAAAGGGACGGACGGGAGGGGCTGAATCTGGTGAACGAAAGAATGCATCTGGTCGATCCAATCGTCGAACTCTTCGTCGACCTCGTCCTCGATGACATCACCGGGTTGAGCTGTGCGTCGAGAGAGACCGTCGGGGCCGTGCATTGTACCGGGGACGTGGACTAGCGTGAAATGGAACGTGAGAATCGAGACGATCCACCGGTTGATACTCGCGCTTGGGGCTATGTCCGGATTCTTCAGCATACCCTTGATGTACCGAGCATCGACTTCGACGATGAGGTTCCGAACGCCGATCAGGTAGAGTCGAAGGGATCGTAGTGCGCGGAACAGGCCGTAGATCTCGAGCTTCGGCTGCGAAAACCTTCGTTCGCGATCGTTGAGTGTGATCGAGCCGAACCTGCTGTAGTAACGGACTCGCGTGTTGGCTTCGTCGCACTGACAGAGGTGATATCCGACGGCGATGAATGACGTGTCGACTGCGAGAATGACGGGGGAGGGGGACTCATAATGGATGGCTCGGAGTGCGGGGGATGAGAGTAGCGCGTCCTTGAGGTCTTCCTGCACCGCGATTTGCTCCGGACCGAACTCGAACTCGACGTCCTTCCTCGTGAGGCGTACGAGCGCGTCGGCACGGTGAGCGAAATTGCGGATGAAGATACGAACGACGCCGATGGTTCCGAGGAACGCTCGAACGTCGGATAGAGTAGCGCAGGGACCCCAGTTGCGTATCGAAGCGACGCGAGAGTCGTCGGGAAGGCGTCCCTGAGGAGTGCAGCGATGTCCGATCACCATGAATTCTCGAGCAATGAGGATACTTTTTACTCCAGAAAAGGTACCTCCGGCGTAGCGCATTCGAGTGATGACGCGGTTCATGTTCTCGAAATGCTCCCATACGAAGCGTCGAATGCCGGGGTTCAAAGGGAGTCGTTCGTCGTCGTAGTCGGATTCGGGACCTTTGACGGGCACATCGTCGACGTAGGGCACCGTAACGTGCGGGATCTCGGGCTGCAGGATGTAGGTGACGTCGTCGTGGAAGATCGGGACTGAGTTTGTCCAACCCATCGGGAGTGTGACTAGGCGCATGGCTCCGTAGGGTGTCTGGAACGTCGTTAGATCTCTCGAAGACTCGGCGATGAGTCGTTCGTCGTAGCCGACGTAGAGGTCGAGCATGCCGCCGCATGGTCTTCCTCCGAATTGTTCTGCGAGGTATTCGGGCGTCGGTGGTACACCGGAATGTTGGATCGTAACTGCATTGAGGGGCTCGAGGGAATGGACGAGTCGAAGAGATTTACCGTCCTTCTTGACGACGCAGAACCACCTCGATCGATACGACGAGTTCGAGGGCTCGTAGACTCCGGCGGCGATCTTTCGCTTGATCACCGCGCAGACTTCGTTGTAGATCCCGGGCGGAATGGGAATATTCTTCTGCACCCAGGGCGTGTGAGGAACGACGGGGAAATCGACGGGGGGGAAGTACTCGGGCTTGAAGCATCCGTGCTCGTCGTCGGTCCAGGCGAAGGCTTCGTTGTGCAGGCACATGAAGTGGTGGAGGACTCGACGTTCTTCGGGAAGTAGGAAGTCGCTGTCGTGAAGCTTATCGGTTGCTTCGAAGCGTTCGAGGGTGTACCGACCGGTAGGTTTGAACGGCGGAGGGTCGGTCGAAAGCTTAGGCATGATGGAGAGAGGGTCACCCTTGATGTCTCGAAGTATTCGAAATTGTTTGGGGACGGCACCAAGGACGGGTCGAGTTTTGAGAGCGACAGGCTTGTACTTTTTCTTTGTTGCGGCGAGTATCTTGTGCGTTGAAGGGGTAGAAGTCGACGTCGAAGGGAAAGGAAGAACCGAGTTGGAGAACTGTGAGATGGACTTCGTCGGAGCGGGAGCTGGTGGAGTCGAAGCGAACAGAGCTGAAAATAGAAGAGTCGAAGCCCACGTTGAAGCGTTCGACGGAGCGGCATTAGAAGCTGTATTGTCCGAAATGTAAAGAGACTGCAAATATGATGAAACAGAGGTGCATGCGGAGAGGTACAGTGACGAAACAGCGTTCGGAATCGAGGAATCAATAGGAGAGACGAAGGAAATACTCGGGTTTACCCCATCGTAGTCGATGACTAGCGCGGCTTCTCCTTGATCATGGGGAATCAATTCCTCGAAGCTAGAAAATGCGATTTGCGATACCCAACAGGATGCTGCCGGCTTCGCGATCTTCCTCGCGCGTACGTCGGAATCGTGACGGTTTCGCCGGTGTTCGGACAGAGGATCGTAATGGTCTGGTTCTCGTCGGCGAAGTTCTTGACGACGCTCTGCGTGAGCACGTCGAAGGGTCGGCCGAGGAGGATGTCGTATGCTGCGTTTCGAATGACGTGAGCCTGGAGATACAATACGATCTCACCGATGCGGAAGGGAACATTTCGAATGAGTCCTAATGATCGGTCCACCTCTCCGTTCGCCGATTGCATGTTCAGCTGGATAGTAGGATCGAAGAGGAGGTTGAGGCCGAGACAGACCTCTTCCGACATGGCGACGATCTGTGAACCGGGGTCGACGATGCATTCGATTTGCTCCTTGTTGTCGACCAACGCGATGATCGAACGAATCGCATTCGAATCGCGTGCGACGGTGAACTCTGCGGGGTGCTCGCCGTGAGGGATGTGCTTCAGATATGTTTCATATGGGTCTGGGACGATTGTAGCACTGGGTTCCAACGTTGCACCTGAACACGAAAGCTGGTTGACGGCTGTGACCTCGTCGGCGCCGATTTCTACAATGTGGGCCGACGCGACGGGTTCCGTCGAGACTCGCTTAGGGGTGACGGCGTCGCGGTACTTGTTTCGAACGTCGGGCGCGATTGACAGCAACTCTTCTGGGGTCAGCGTGACGAACGGCGACTTCATCGAACGCTGGAAGATTTCTTCGGCGAGCTTCGGCTGGATAACGGGGACGATGGTCTTGTACGCTGGTTCCTTGCCCTTGTCGTTCGAGGGCTTCGGCGGAGTTGCGAAGTTTCGAACATTCGGCGGGGCGTAGGTTGCGTCACGAGCATTTGCGAAGGGGTGT